AATACTTTCATGATAAGATTTGCACGACTCTCTGTGTGTCTAATATATGGTTTGATGTAATCAAAGTAGACTATACCAGATAAGGAATTTAAACTGGCCGACATTGTACTCAGAGCAGCACTAAAAACACACGATATAAATACACCAGGCATACCTTTTAAATGGCCTACAATATCTTGTACAAAGTACGGCATTAGTTTATCAGTTTTTTGAACAAATCCTGCCTGAATTGGGTCACAGTCATGATAACGTGAATACATCGCAATGCCAGTGTAAGTGTTAAATCCAAGTATGAGGATAAAACCAAAACCAAAAATTACAAGCGATCTGAAAATTACAAACAAACAAAAAAAAACAGTCAATAGCATTGAACAAACAGAATAAAATAAAATTAGAAAATAGTGTCACCTAACAGCACTAAAATTATCTAAAAGACATGAAAACTAGAAAAGAGAACATGACATTAAAGGAAATTGCTAGCTAACATAATTTCATGAAATAAATAATGTGTTATTTAATCGATTAATACTTGATAGATATGAATAATACAAGCAGCATTTTCGGTGTTGATCTATCGATTGTATTATTATATTTTTGATCATTTTAAAATATTTTCTCATTTTTGTTTTGTAATTCCTAAAACAAAGTACATAATAGGTTAAGTCTTACATTTTGTATTTTTTGTATCTTTTTACTGTCTTGGTTTACGTAACTTAAAAAATTCTTCATAATATTTCTAACGTTCTTGATGTCCAGAGATAAGCACGTTGTTATTATAGCCTTCAATTTTTTTATTTGCGGTTTATTTTGGCAGATGGGGTTTACAAATCGATATCTAAACGATATTTAATTTGCTTTAATACAAAATAACATGGTGTGAAGTTATGATATCTATATTTCATATATATACACACACAAACACATATATATCATTGTGATTTGTAATCATTGAGATTTGTATAATATAATTACTAAACGAAATTATATTATATTTATAAAAGAATATTAAAGAATATAGATAGAATAGTGACTATCATATAGGCAACAGTGATATTACAATTCAAGCAGATGCCACTTTATATAATCCAGAATCCAAATAGAATCCAGAAAATAAGCATGAAATAAGGACGTGACACGAATCTCTTGGAATGGTAATATCTATATTGTCCAAATATTGGCTATTATAACAGATGAAAGACGACGTCAAAAAAGACAAACAAAAATACAACAGAAAGCTATCATAGAGAACTACTTGTAAATCCATTTTATTCATTATATTTCATGGTGTAAATATTGTAAACAAATATATAAATTTCAGATTAGATAAAATCCAATTCAAATTAATTGTTTATATTAAATTTTAGATCAGATTTTTAGATTATATCTTAATTGTAGGTATTTATTAAATATGCTAGAATCAATAGGCATTAAATGGACTTACCTTTTAGCATGACCCAATGAGGGCAAGGACACTATACGCTGTACACAACTTTGATTCAGGCCAACATATGAAGCCCACATTAGTGTTCCACTTATAAAACAGTTCCATAGTGTAGAGCGAGTTGTTAAATCGAATGCTAAACTAATAAAAGTTAATATACATACATAATGTATTATAAATGTTTATTATTAAATTGAATCTTAAACATAAACAAAAATAATTTCTTATCATGTTGTTTTAAAACAAATAGTTATTTTTAATAGTTTAAGTTAATGCTTAGTAAACTCACTTGATATTTAAGCGGCCACCGGCTTTAGCGATATGGTAAACTTCTCCAATTCCTCCTATTTTTACTGTAGCCAATATTCCAACTAATACCACAGATGTGACCATTATAAATGCTTGTACAACATCTGTCCAAACAACCGCTTTGATTCCGCCCTAGAAATAAAATCACTGTTGATACTACAGATTTCTTATACTAACCTCTAGTATGTACTTACAAACATAGTATAAAATACACATATTGAACAGACGATTGTATTTATGAGATGTATATTTATGCCAGTAACTAAAAATATATAAATAATTCACAATTATATTTATACGTAATATATAGTAATTGCAATAAAAAATAGTTCTTATCTTAGGGGATAAAGTCAATAAAAAGTCAATAGGTTCCATTTATTGAATTATTATTATTGAATTATGTACTGTTAAATATAACTTTTTAAAAATAATACAAAAATCAAATAAATATTTTTTTTCTGAAATTCTTTTCTAGGAATTCAAATATCTTCCATTAGAATTTGGCGGTCCATAAGTTTGCATGATCAACGTTTTTGCTCATTCATACTTTTAAGTAGACTATTGAACTATAATTATGTTTAGCTATACTCAATTTTTCCGATATTGCTGATTTGAGTTGAATAATCCTTCTTAGTGTAAGAAAATTGTATCAAGAACATGATTAACCTGCTGGGACTATGTTGCTTATCTTAAGAAGAAATGATATGTTCAAGAAATTTATAACTTAAAGCAAATACAAAGCTTCATATCTTCATAAAATGGTTAAATAAGGAGATTAGAGTTTGGCAGTTTAAATAAAGCTTGAGAGTACTTATTAAAATCCCTGCTAAATATTTTTATTATGTGTTATTTACTTTAATAGCATAGGTATTAATTATATTACGATAGTATTATATGTAATAATAATATATGTTAGCAAATAATGGCTTGCACTTTAAGGTATTGTCAAAATTTAAAGGTGTACCGAAAGTATGTCATAGCAATCACTCTTGTTAGTGGGATAGATTACAAAAAAAAAAAATAAATAATTCTCTAATTATTGATCAAATCTATGAAACTCAAGTTTTCATTAACGGTCTCAAAACACCACATTTCATGATGTCGAAATTCGATTACATACAACGGAAACTATAATAACGAGCGATATATCTGAAAGTTGTCTTATGTCCTAAACTAAGTAGGAAAAAAAATAAAGCTAAAACAATTTGAGAGATTTTCTAATTTCTACAGTAGCACATGATCTGAATTCTCACGTTAGCACGTGTATTATTCGGATGTTATAAATCTTATGCTTCTATGTGACAACCTAGTATGGTTAATCGTAAACAGGCGACAGAGATACAACAAATGACTTTAAGCAATGACTTCTTCGTAGACTTCGCATTGAGGTAGTTAAGCTTAACATTATCTGTAAATGGTCCAAAGTTGGCATGGAATTTTTTCTAATACTAAGCTATGCTTCCAATATTCGTCGCAATAATTACTAACACCTTTTATATCTATTCTACTTAATCATAATCTCTCATATCCAAGAGAAGATTGGATTGAAGGTATCGTAGTTCCATATTCGGGGTTACAGTGGGTGCTTCAATACATGTGCTCTCGTAGTTATGCACATGTGTACTAGATTTGCACGTTTTTATTTATTTGAGCCATTTTTGGGTTATGGATATGGAAACATATAGTTGAAAATAAGACTTCTGTCTTTTTCTTTTATAGTAACACATAATTTTTATGTAAAATACTCGATTCTCTTCTAAGAATTAATCGTTTTTTTCAAAATGTGTTTCGATTATTTTATCATTAAAACTATATATATCGAGGTTATATGTACATATTTCCCATTTTTTTTTTCATTTTTTTAGTGGAGGTAACTTTTTCTTGTTTTCTAACTTTTTCTTGTTTTTCTTGTTTTTTATGTCCAGCTAACTGGTACTTTGGTTGTTATTTATTTTTAATTGTATTTCTTTCTTTATTTACTTGTAAATTTTTTACTAATTACAACAACATTTACAGTGTTTGTCTTAAATACTTTTACAATACTAAGTATTTATTTATAAAATTTAGCTAGTTATCGTTTAATAAAGTTTGTATGAAACTATTTTGATAGATATATAGATTTTACAACGGTTCAGAACTATGTCCCCACGTCACTGCATCCTTTGAGGATTATTGTACCAAACTCACTTTAGTTCCATAAGCGTGTAGCAGTTAAAAATGACATTATGTTCCTTGGAGAGATGTTGCCTATTTCTGTTATAGGTGGATAAGCACTTGATAAGTACCGAAGTCTGAGTTTGGCAAGATTATCACAGTGACACAGAATTTGCTGTTTTCTCTCTTCGTCAAAAACTCTGTAGCTAACGTCACTTGTCATACTTGGATTCGATACATGTTTTTCGACATCACAATCTAATACCTTTTCTGTTAAGCACTAGTAGCTCCCTAGTTCTGGCTTTTGATCGATTCGGCATGAATTCTTTAGCTTCTCTGCAGGCAATTACATTATCTCAATCAGTCTGAGCTTTTTTTACAGCCATTCATTAGTTCTAATTTTGAAAAAGCTTCATGAAGGACCGCAAATTGATTTTAGTTCAATATAATATGAGTCCGCCCCTTTTCTGGCTAGTTCATTAGCTTTCTAATTTATCTCAAACCCGCTGTGTTCTGGGATCTATATTAAATGGACCTTGTTTCTATTAGAAAGATCTTTGAAAAGTTGAAGGTATTCCCACACTAGTTTTGAGGTCACTCGAGGTGAGCGGAGTGCTAGGAGTGCTGATTTGCTGACAGAGAAAATATATATGTTTTTCCCTGTGGTGGGTTTCCCTTTACTTTAGTTTGTTTTGATAATTAACTTATTTATATATTTAAAACATTTACGCGCAACATTCACTTATATATAAAATACTTTACATGTTTTACAAATATTAAATTTGTTTAAACCATTTAATTTATGGGTGAAGTACGGTCATTATTCACAAATTTTTTTTCGTTTCTTTATTTCGCCATTCACCGTTTTACTTATCAGCTTTAGCTATTATTAAAATCATTAGAGGTGATCGTCAGATCGCCAGTACTGAGTTATCTGACCTCCCTTTAGCTGCTGTTAAAACCGTCAGTGACGAGTTATCTGACAACTGATAAAGCTATTAAATAATTCACTAATTAATGTCGAAAGCATGAGCCACTGGTAAAACTACTTAAGACTATGAAAGTACAAAGCCCAAGTTCAAACGTTGATAAGTCGCCTGCCAGTTAGAAAAAAAGCAAATGTAGATCTGTACGCTTTTTTCCTACAATTTTTATTTAGTGTTGTCTTATGTGACATCGGGTTTTCCTGTTTTTATTAAAGCACTTGCCTTAGTATACTTTCCAGCGCATCATGAACTCATGCTCGCCAATATTGTGCATGTGCTTTTTTCTCCTATTTCCATTTAGCTGGTAATTGTCGCAACATTTAATCTGTAAATTTTTCCATTGTTATTCTGGTACAGCTTTTTTTTAAACTTTCATTATCGAAGCCAACCACGTATTATCTTTCTCTATTTCTCGTAAATAAACTCTGCATTTCTCTATGTTTAATAACAAAACAAAAGCATGCATTTATTTATGTGTATCAGTCAAACACCGGTCTTTGCTATCAGCTAAACGTCAAGCTCTCATCAATCTTTAGTCAAAGCTCGCATCTTGATATTCAGCCATTCTGCAATTTTCGTCCGTTCTATTACTGATAAGCGAGTATTCTTGTTTGCCTCTTACTTAAATCAACAATAACAAAAGCCAAATTTTATTGCCTATATTTATTGTTTTGTTTATTAAGTTGCTTGGGCTGTAGCTGTTTTAATTGTATAGTGCGTAGCTTAATGTAACCCCATATTAACAAACATTTGAATTCCTAAACGACTAGTTAAAATAACCGAAATTTTTTCTTCAGAGTAGCAAAAAAATACTCGCATCTTACGAAAGAAAACAGGTAATTCAACCACAATGCTTCAGAGTTGGGAGTTTTACTTGCAAAAATGTTTAAGTTTAAGTGCAGCCAAATTCAAAAATCATTCTATTGTGAATGTTCACTGGAAAAAATCCAGTCATCCCTTAAAATCATATGAGTATTTCATTTACTAATAAATTCAAATATATAAATAAATTAATTAATTTAAATATATAAGATAAAAATGCTAACTATTGTGCTTCTAATATTCATTTTGTTTTCTGTTGTTTAAATTAATTTATTTTTAGTGCTTATAATTTTTATCTTTCATATTGTACACAATCCAACAAAAAATATGTGTCAAAAATTGCATTTGAAATATTTTGAAAGTGATGCCAATTTACTTCAACCAGACTTAATGCTGTTTTTTACAACTCTGAAAAAAAAGTTACGGCTAATACAAGTATATTTCTTCTAAAATATCTGAAGTACCTGATTGCAATAAATTACTCTAATCATATTCTATGGTAAACCCGATAACAGCTGTATTAACAAATTAATATTTTCAACAGAATAGCAAAAAAATCTTCGTAAACCGAGAGAAGTATTCAGCGATGTTTTTGCAATCAAAGATGTTAATAACGGATGATTATCCATCACATGCGCACTTCACTGAGTTAAAACCTCCTTATGTTTAGCGTACGATAAAGCAATAGTTGACCTTCAGAAGTTGAAGACCCTCAACGTTGTCCACATAAATTAAACGCTTAACACTGCCTGGGTTTTATTGAAATGCATTTGCTTAACTACATTTTTGTCATTTCATTACTTCCACTTCTTCCTTATTTAGATTTTTGATATACATTATTAGATATTTTATTTTTGATCCTGTTTGAATATAGTATTTTGCTCTAGCCATTAAAAATGATTAGATTTTGTTTTTTGATTCAGTGTATTAAAACTACAAAATGGATTATGTTATAATTACTGTTAAGAAATAGAAATAATTTGTATCGTTTATCAAACAATTCATCGAATTAATAATTATATGACACTTAATTATAATAAGTACTAATGGTATATATACCCATAATAATGGCAATGTAACTAACGAGCACTGAAACCCCTACTTTGGTCACTGGCAATAATAAAATACACTATAATTAAAATCATGTGTTATAATTAATTAAATGAATAATTTCCTACATTTATTTCTTTTATAATAATTGTTAGAGTTATCTATCATCTGACAATTATTAATAAATTATAACAAATATAGAAACTAAAAATCTTGATATAATCTTGGTAGAATGCAACATATTTATGGGATTAATATTCATATTAATAATTAAGTTAATAATATTATATAAAGCTAGCTTATGTACCTTAATGTACTCGTAATATTATATAAAGAAGATTAACATGTCATATGTACTGTATTATATATTGAAGCAACATGCGTTGATATCAGATAAAATTTAAAATTGTATATCTATATTATTCATAAAATAACTCACGGCCCACTAGTATATAATCAAATGAAATCTTTGGTGAAAAATTATGTTCACCAATTGTCTATACAATTATAATTTGTATATGTAGAAGCACTAAAATTTAATGCCAGTGTATTTTTCTTGCTCGTTAAGGATTATTATTCATGTTGTAGAATTTTTTCATGGATAGGTTCTCGAGATATGAGGGTTTGAAATATTTTTTAATTTTTTTCAAATGTAACTTTCATGTTGCACAATATCTCGAATTGCTTACGTCCGATAAGGTACAATAAGATATTAATTTAATCTGTAATAATAGCTTCTAATATTGTTTTCCAATTTTTAATTAAATTAATTAAATTTAACCAATTTTCATCTATCTCTAAAATATATAAATTGAGTTAATATCCAATATTTTTGGTTTATTATTATGTTGAAGCTATTTGAGCCAGTGCACTTGAGTACTTTTACTCTTTCTTAACTCGAGGTATTTTCAAAACCCCTCTTTACTCCTTGACTGGATTATTGTTTATCATTTCATCAGACTAAGCAATAACTGACCTCAGATCTGCATACCTCCCCGAGGAGCCTGTAACCATTTTGAGATTTGATAACGCGGTATTGGTAAGTCTGTCAGTTTTCACAAGTCATTTCAGGGCTCTATCCTTTATGTATTTCTTGATCGGATCAATCTTGAGGTCCCTGAGGATGTCCTCCCAGTTTATTACCATATCTCTCACTCTCACTCTGAACGAAATTTTTTCTTTCTTTTTATATATAAAAATTATTTAATTAATTTCTTTATTTTTATTACCAATTTTTAATTATACATGATTAGCTTAGAATTAATTTTGAGCTTTGTTTTATGTTATTTTATGGGTCCGTTTCTCTAACGAAAAACGACATTATTTCCCAACAATATTTCATCATTAAATCCTTGGTAATCTTGGATTTCACAGTCGATAATAACAGTGTTATTAACGTATCACACGAAAAGTGAAAAAATTCGAGAGATGAAATTTCCGGTATTTATGCATATACATATTTCCCTCATCAATATCTTGTTTCTGTGAATAATTAACCTGATATAATTCCAAGCTTTCTGTTTTTGCATGATGATAGAGTGTTTTTGATGCATATTTTAGGTTAAAAAATCTAATTTACTGCTATATATTTGTCTATGACATTTAAATTACTAAATCATTGGAAAATAATGCTAGAAGTGACTATTGAAGATTTTGATTTAGTATCTTGTTAGATCTGATCGGCGTGATATAGTGAAACATGTGATGCAAATCGTATGTCACCTATGTTAATTGGAACAAAATGCTCGAAGTGACTATTGGTTATTTTAATTTGGTATATTGTTAGATCTGATCGGCGTGATATGGTGAAATATGTGATGCTCCTTGTATGTCTGAAAAAAAATTTTAAAACCTCAAATCTCGAAAACCTGTCCATAGACAGACAAATCCATTTTTAATGCGATTTTCGAAAACCTATCCATAAACAGTTTTTTTTAATGTAGTTTTTCGAAAACCTATCTATAAAAAGTTTTCTTAATGTGATTTTTGAGTTAAGTGAAGCAAAACACATGGGAAAAATACAATGACATTATGTATATGTTGGCTGTACACTAGTGTAATTAATTCTGTGCCAAAGAATAAATGATAAAAATAAATATGTAATCATATTTTACCTTGTGAAAATGCAAGTGCTGGTATAAAAATAAAAACTGGTAACATCAGGAACAACGTAACTATAAAGGCAATGGTTTGAATTTGGCGCGTCTTGCGGTTAAATCTTATTTCCAGATACTGTTTAAATTGAATTATGTGAATTAAATTAATATTGTGATTATATATCTTTTATTACACACCTCATAACAGTTCGATATATTATTATTATAAAAAACTGGTATAACAACATAACACAGGATTGGCACAACTATTAACATTGACATCACGTTAAAACACCAATTTATGCCAAATGAATACATTTCTGAAGGTATCGTCATGATGGATATACCGGAAAGTTGACTGTAAAAAGGTTTTTAATATTTTTAAATTTGTTATTTATTATTTTATGTATTAAAAACAACATTTAGATCAGTGTTGTATGATAATTTTTATACACTTTTTTAGCACAAACCTTGCCACAAGTGAGATAGCAATAGGTATGGTTTTCATGCGTTTCCCACCCATTAGATATTCATCGGTTGTATCAGCACCTTTGGCAAAGAAACCGAAATAAACACCAATGCCAAATGAGATAAATAACATAAACACAAAGACCGTATAATCGGTAGCATTAAATGTGAATTGAGAAATTCCATTATTCACGATTTCAGCGGTTTCATTAAGTAATTCCATTTTTAACTATTTATCTTTCACTATTCAAAGGATTTCAAATTTTTTTTGTTTTAGAATTTTCACTTTTCCTTAATTTTTTTAATTTTTAATCACACATTTTCACGCTAAGCACAATCTGCAAATGAATAATTTTGCAATAAAGATCTGTTTTAAATTTATAAGAAATTTAGATATAATATTCTTTTATCAGCAATGATTTGCTTAAATATATCGCAATCATTTTTAACAAAGTATAATAATTATTGAGGTCTATTAAAAGAGATTTCTTACTTATCTTTATAACAATTATATAAATTGTTTCATTTGTCTATGTATAATAATTAAAATATTATTGTTGATAATGACTAAGGTTGATTTGATATAAAGTCGCGTGTTACAGCGATTTTAAATGAAGAAACTAATAGTGAGACGTATTCAAAATTTTAAAGTACATAAGGCTTCTAATAAAAATTATCTAAACGTTGTTTAGACATGATAGACGTTAAAAGACATTATATATATATAGTTATCTAAATTAGTATAAAAGGGACGATGATTAACAAAATATATACAGAATACGTAATTGTTACACATATAGAAATGCACTTTAAGATATTATTTATAATATATACATATGTACATACGTATTTCATTGTTTAATAATTTTATTCACAAATCATTTACAATATAAACGCAGTAAATTTGTTTACAATTGGAATATACCTACCTATGACAGCAGTATCTAATTTCCATTGAACTTAATATATATTATATGTACTTATAAAGTAATTACCTAATTTCGAACTTAATTTCGATAAGGTAGGTCATTTTTTCGTATAATAAACTTACTGCAAGTGTTAACAGGTGTACCCAGTGTTAGACGATATTTTGCGGAGTCGTTTAACTTCCTCGGGCACATTCAAAATATTAACATTATTATGCATGCTCCGGTTCTTCATTAATCGGAGTGCTTCAGTACTAACCACAACGGTCAAGATTAATCCATTGAATAATTTTAATATTTAAATGATTAGCTGTGCCTCACAACTGAATTTAATAGGCTACACCGATTTTAGTATCATCTTCAACAGTACTTTAAGTTTCAACCCCTACTAAGTAGGTAGTGTTTTGCTTTCGATATGAAACTGGTTACGATTTGTTTCAATATATTTTAGCCAAGACATATACCTTCGATCATCAGCCTTCTATCAATATATACTGTATATCAAGCTACTTTAGTATGTTACATGTGAATGTATTTTAATCTTTTATTTTTTAGTAAAATAGTTCTAGTTAACCTTAACATTTACCTGCTGTGTTATCTTCTTTGTTTATACTAAATTATCTTAATGTACGGACTTCTCTGTGTGTACTTCAAAACTTAAATTTACGAACAAATTTCCCACTACATATAACTCATATTGTTAATTTTCTGAAGTTTCTATAGTGTTTCTCGTAAAGGTCAAAAAGCTGTATAATCAGTTTATGTAGTAATGTTATGTTATCAGTTACGAGAATCTCAGAAGTGAACATTGTATATATGTTTGATCCTAATATATGCCCTTATGCAATGTACGCAATAGCTTTTGCTATCTTGTACCTCTAGTAGTTGGATGAAAGTGTCGTTTTTGAAGAGAAGACTTAAAAGACAAGTAGCAGGGAGCAGTATAAAACTTTCTTTTTTTTATAATTTGTAGATTGCTTAATGAATATCTAGAAATAAATCTACAGAGTAGTTTTTCACTTGTAATGTGTTAAGGATTTTCTTTACAATATGGCCAGACAGTTTAAAAGTTTCATGTTTGTTTTTTGTCCCAAATTGTTGTTCAGGAATAGTTCATCTTGGATCGTGTAGCAATAATTTTTCAAATATTTTACGGAATATAATTAAAAAAAACTATTGGGTTAATTGATATGCTTTATATATGCTTTTTGTGTTTATGTATTCATATTATTTTTGTACTTCCACTATTTACGAGAAATGCATAACTGCATTCATTAAATACTTTAGTTGCACCTTATTTCTACATATATATTAGAAAAAATATCAGAAAATACCAGAAGAGTCTTCACCTTTTCCGGATCCATGTTTGACTACTTTAATTTGTGAATCAATATTGTGTGCAAAGTTTTTGCCTATATTGTATCAGAGCAGGATATTTTTAAGAATATGTAATGATATTTCTGTGTTTTTTATACATGGTCTGTATTCGTTGCTTGTCGAATAAGTCTACATTTCTCTACTATCGTATTGTCCAGGAAAATGGCCATTCTAAAATGTTCATATTGAAAAATAGTAATTCATAATTTGATAATTTATTTATGATTCTTTCGTTTATATTTTTTCTTTCTTATGTTGCTTCTTTGTGCAAATGCCAGTCGCTATCAGCGTGGTTTAAAGTAAATAAAATAACTTCCAATGCTACTTTTAACGATTATACTGAGCTTGACAATGAAATTTGTACATCAAGCGATCCTACAGATGAGGATATTATTGTGGACTATAGCTCTAAGTTACTGGATCCAATTCTAAGCGTAACGGAAAGTGATAATGGGTGCTCAGTGGATGTGATTGTTCATCAGCGTTCCAAGAATAAAGTAGAAGACATTCAAAATTCTGAATTTATATTTGCAAACGATTGATACTACAACAGATGATCACTATAAAAGTATGAATAAGGTGAAATCTCTTTTTACTGAAAATAAGAAAAGGACTGTATCCCAAACCCTAATTTCTGAATATTTTACTTTACTATAAGTTCTGTGCTTAATTTGATTGCCAATAAATAAATATCTTAAAATGTAATTCTAGTTTCTTAAAAAAATTCTCTAACTCGAAGTCTCCATAAATCGAACCTTTTCTTTGCAAAATTGGGCTTGGAGTTATGGAAGTTTAACTGCAGTTTAATAATGTTGCAAAATATCTTCATATAATTTTACGTTAAAACAAGAGTTATCTATTCCAATGTTAGATAGTAGTACAAAAAGTAGTTTTAATAAACAAAAATAGTGATCAGAAGACCCTGGCAGCTAGCGCTCGTTTTTTCTATCTTAGTTATAAAATTTTATATTTTGTAATTAATTATAAAAAATAAATAAATAAAATAATTAACAAAATTAAAAATGTAAAAAATTCAAATTTATTTTTTGCTAATAATCAAGCCATTTTTCTGGCGCATAAAACATTAGAGGGTATTCAGTCTAAAATACACTACAATGAATTATAAAATGAATTGTAAATTATTTTAAGGGAACTTTGAATAAGTAGCCAGGGCTTATTTTCTAGATATCACGGCGTATAAGTTGAATTACACAGAATAATCTTTAGAAAAGCAGGATGGCAGGTCTATCATTCCGTTTTAGTCAAGAGAAATTTATTATATTAACAAGCGGTCTAATCAGCGGATTGACATGGTTTTTAAGATTTGAAACATATTTCTGCCTTATTCTCTCGAACTGGACTTTAACTATCGGAACTTCCAAATCGGAAATTTAAGAAATTAATATAAAATACTACAATACACTGAGCCTGGAGTGGTCTCTAGACAACAGTAAAATATATAGTCTACATTGGAAGTTCAGTCTAGATAATTATATTGTATAGTTAGTTGTCAAGTAACCAAATTGCCAAGTAAATAAGTTACTGTATTTATATCGATTGTTTTTCATTATTGTCAAGTGCAAAAGATGGTATAAACCTTTCTCTATTTAAATAAATCATCTCTCAGATTTTCTGCATTTTTAACTGCATCCTTTTTAACACCCTGTATGAAAAAAGGAAAATGATTTTTATCATTTCTCGTACCAAAGATTCAAATCTCAAAGTTAAGGCTTTGTGTTTATGTAGATTCAAATCCCAGTACGTCTTATTTACGTACTGAGTAAGACTTTGTATACTTTATATTATTTTCAACGTCTGCTTTTCTGCGTCTTATCAAACGTAAAGCAAAAATATATATTTTTGGAACTTAGTTTAAATTTTTATTTATTGTAGCAATATTTTTAAGTACATGACTAGTCTAGTTAAGTCTTAAACACTTCATCAGCCAAAATAGAAGTGTATCGAGTTATTCGATGATGTGGAATAATATATGGTAGTAGAATTGTGCTGTTTTAAAATAAATTTTCAAAGCTTCCAAATTTTGTAGAGTTGTCAATTTCGGAAAAATTGATAATAATAATTGTATTTCTTTTAGAATTTATTTCAAATTTCTTCGTTGTATCAATATTTAAAAGATAATCAGATTTAATGGATGTTTATTTAGTAGTTTGACTTATTTTTAAGAAATATTTGTAACATTCTATATGGATTATGAAGTTATTTGCTAAAACATATTTAATTGACTTATTCCAGTATTTTCTTGTCTTTTGCAGATACTATATCATCTAAATCACAGCATACAACAGATATCAAAAATATCTTACGTTACTATTTACTTAGCGTTTCTTATCAGATTTAAGACTATCACGTTAGCAATATTGTGCAACGCCTTAATTGAGGTAATTTAATTGAAACTACTTAATTACGAAATATTTGACAGTGAGACATTTTCTCTTTATTATATGCGAAGCTATATGCTTCAGATACAATATATGCTACAATATAGAAAGAAATTTATTGATATCCACAAGGAAATTGACTGCAATTTATTGCTTATTTAAACAGGTATAAAAATTTATCCCGTTTAAAAATCATTATATCGCAAAGTGTGAACTGTGTAAATAAATCTTTTAAGTAGTCGGATTAAAACACTACAGAAGATTTCACAAAAAAAAGAAATAACTAAATATATATAACACACAATAAATGTATATTTATCTATATGCCTACGTTAATTATGTATATGCAGTGTACATGGCATATATTTGAGTTTATTATTTGATTAAAATATTGCATTTGATCACTAGCAGCAGGTGTGCCTAATTCATTATCCAGTTTTGCATTAAATACGGAATCAATGAAGTTCAACGATCAGGTAAGTTCAATGCTTGTGAAGTAAAAATATCTTATTTTTATTATTTCTAAAAAAACAAGAGAAAATATTTGGTTAGCTTAAATTTAATTTGAGTTAAAGATTTTGACTTTAATTTG